ATACACATGAACACATACATATATACATATACATATATTCAATTTAATATTCCTATACATAAACATATGCATGCACATGTGTGTGCGTGTGTGTGTTGGTATAGTATGTGTATATCTTTAATACCAAAAATCACAGATCAAGACAAATTAGAGTATGAGATATCAAATTGAATCTATTTTAATAATCTACTAACAATTCTAAAAGAAAATTAATTACAGATATTTGTCATATCTAAAATTCTATACACAAACAGAATCTAAAGTAAATTCAAGGACGCAAGTAGATATGATTTTGTTTTAAATATTTCTAACATATTTCCCCATAAAAATGTTGGAGAGTAAGTGTATATACCTATCAACATGCAGCAGTGTGAATGACCTTATTCCCTTATGATGCATTTTAAATGTTTGAGTTCCTCAAATATTAAGCAATAAAAAGAATACTACTAATGCTAGCTTTACTCTTGCAGATGTTTATACATCACACACTCATTTGGTAAAATCACCCCATGCTGAAATTTCTGGGATTTCCTACAAGATATTCTTAATTTCAGAAACCCATGAAGGATTATATTTAGTAACATTGTTTAGTTGATCTTAGAGTCTATGATTGTCTAAGTAAATCATTTAAATCCAAAGTGACAACATCATACATCAGTTAACTTGACCTGCCCGTATCCAGCCAGAAAATATAATAAGTTCTGTACATCAAATTTATCTTCAGCTAAATAAGATGGAAATGTTCAAGGGACATAAAGTTTTTAAGGTAAATTTTCTGACCATGTATTCTATGGTGTATCACTGCCAGTTGATTAAACACATTCTAAGAGGAAATCAAAGCAAGGAAGTGCTGAAATAGATTGAGCATGAATCAGCTACATGGGAAAATGAGTAAAGTAGTGAGCAACAAAAATTGGTTTGGTAGGTTAGTGCAGCTCAAACTAATCTGCTTATATTAACCAAATTGCCCTGCTTCTCAAGGAAAACTACTGGTTGCAGCTTATCTCAGTGATTTCCCAGAGCTGACCTCTCCTCTGAGCCAACCAATGTCAGGGCAACCATATTACTCAGCTTCCAGCCAGGGGACCCTGATATATGACTTAAAGAGAATTCTTACTTTATAACAACCACAAAAAAATCACATTAGCAAGCTAGAAAAACAATTTAGTTCTTAAATGTATATTTATAAACAAATATCAAATAAAGATTTTTTTAAAAATTATTTTCATTGTTTATTTACTGTGTGTGATTATATATATGATTATTCATTCAGGTGTCTCCTTTCTCTATTACATCGGAAACTCCTATTCACTTTGTGGAATTTTAAGAGATCCATCAATTACACTGCTATTAAGAACTATAAGTGATACTTTTGTTGTTCCCCAAATATTACAGCCATTTTAATTAAATAAAGCATAAAAACCTTACATGGTCATCAAGACATTTCATGTAAAAAAAGGACAAGTTTGGTATGTAATCTAGGGCTTTAAGCAAAGAAAACTGCATACCATACAATAAAACTATAACCCCACAAATGAATATTTTTTCCCACTGAAGTGGATATCTATTAGATCTCACAATAGTCAAGCTACCAGAGTTGATTTAATACTTTACTTTCATATTTGGCCAAAATGCAAAAAATTATCATATATAGGGACCATTAATATTCAGCATAGAATGATAACAATCCTAATCAAGAAACAGATTTCTATATATACACATGCATACATACTTGTACATTAATGTTCAAACATGCAATGGCAACCATACAGGCACACACACACACAAGCACACACAAAGAAGAGCCTTAAAAAATAAACAACTTACAAATTCTGATTAAAGGTATAAGTATCTATTCTTTCTAAGTATGTTGTGATAAACCATTAGGACACAAATGCATATAATGATCAATGCTACTATTAATAAAAGATTAATTCAAAGCAGATGAGTTATTTAAGTTTCATGAATATTATGTATGGCCCTTGGCATCAAAATAGATTTGCAAAGATTCTACCAACAATATAATTTCAAGTAAGATACTGATGCCAGATGAAGTGTGAAGCCATTTTCTATAAATAATAATGCATCAGACAATAAGCCTACAATGGGAACGACCTCTCCGATCACACACTATTTCATTCACAATCTACAAAAAAACGAGTTGCAAAGAATGCATCAAAATATAAAAATAGTCAAGTTCTGACACAATAATTTGAGTGACACATCCATATGGTATCTTATTTAAAATATTCTTATTCATTAATGACCATGTCATCTTGCACTTGAACAATCAAACAATTCAAAGAAGAATTTTGGCAATTAATTGTAAATGAATAGAAATATCACAAACATTTATCAAAAACATATGACTTAGATTACAATTTTGCTGACAGCTGCAAGAACAATGAGAGGAATATTTAAGAAAAAACAAAAGAAAAATACACTCCTTATGTTACACTTCTCTCTTGATCTTCCAAAGCTTTCATACCTTGTACTCTTA